CCATCCCCCAGTTGGCTGTGGCTGTGGCTGCTAATATCTCAGAGCTTCCCCTCTTCTGGACAAAGCCTGATTTCTGCCCTCCTCAGGGAGAGAGCATCAAATCTGAAACCCCTTCCCTTGCAGTAGAACAATGCTGTGGTGTAACTCACATTTTAATGGTTTTTGCAGAACGAGGCTAAGCTGGACTCCAGCAGAGGCTGTGTCCGTCACCCCCACATCCCTTCTCCCCCACTTCCCTTCCCTCAGCTCTTCTCATAACCAAGTGCTTCTGTATCCTGTTTCACATATTGCTTTGAGAGGGCCCACTGTAAGAGTGTCAGGAAATCATTCCTACCCACAAGCTGAAGAAGCAAGGAGTAGAAGTGGTTGCTATTAAGGCTCTGTGAAAGCTGAAGCCATGGAGTTGGAGCTCCTGACAACAGCTCTGGTCATTAGCTTGGCCACTGCTGAGGATCAGGGCAGGAATGGGGATGAAATAGGCTGACCTCTTCCCTTCCCCTCCCTGAGTTTGCATCCTTTCAGTAACCCCAACAGGACACTTGCCAACATTGTGCTGGCAGTCTGTGTAGGGCAGTCTTGCAGCAAAGGAAGCTAGCAGCTACAACAGGGAAGGGAGGAACAGAAATGATAGCATATCAGCCACCTATAATCTTTCCTTCAGTCCAGCTGTCATGTTGGCACCAGACTGATGTCTATCAAATGCCTTTTTGATCGTGGTCCAAATCCTCCAAGGGATCCATTTAATTTCTGGAATATATAACCTACTGATAAAAAAAATCTCTGAACATATGCATTCAGTTCATTTGTTGACTCATTTATAAAATATTTGAAATTACTACCATTAGCTGATAATTCAAAGAAGTACATACACTTAACATAGGATATACCCATTAATGACTGCATTTGTTGATCTTTTCAGTTATTTTGGGCATTTTGTGTCACATGTGATTAGAATGCCATGTTCTTAAGCAAGTAAGATTGCTGATGGGAATCTCATCTTCACCTCTGCCATTCATGGTGTTTGCTTGCCTGCATTATTGTATTCTATTCAATCAGAGATTTTTTTTTTTTTTTGCAGTAATCTGTTTGGTAGGGAGGGGGACTTAAAACTAGATACAGGCCGGCGTCGCGGCTCACTAGGCTAATCCTCCGCCTTGTGGCGCCGGCACACCGGGTTCTAGTCCCAGTCAGGGCGCCGGATTCTGTCCCGGTTGCCCTTCTTCCAGGCCAGCTCTCTGCTGTGGCCTGGGAGTGCAGTGGAGGATGGCCCAAGTACTTGGACCCTGTACCCCATGGGAGACCAGGAGAAGTACCTGGCTCCTGCCATCGGATCAGCGCGGTACGTGGCCGCAGTGTGCCAGCCTTGGTGGCCATTGGAGGGGGAACCAACGGCAAAGGAAGACCTTTCTCTCTGTCTCTCTCTCACTGTCCACTCTGCCTGTCAAAAAACAAAAACAAAAACAAACAAAAAAAAACACAAGAACAACCAGATACAGTGATCTTAAATCTATTTAACCAGGTACATGTAAACCAAAAAATGTAGAAATAACCTGAAAGTAATAATGAGTAATAAGCGTCTCACCGCTCTCCAACATTGTGGCTCTCCTTCTGCAATTCCCATCAGATTCTTTTTAAAAATCAATTTCTATTTACTTATTTGAGACATGGAGGGTAAGAGAGACAGACAGAGAGATCTCATCTGCTAATTCACTCTCCAAATACCTGCAATGGTCAGGGCTGGTCTGAGAATGCAATCAAGATTTCCCGTGTGGGTGTCAGGGATCCAGTTATTTGGGCCATCACTGCTGTGTCCCAGAATCTGTACTAGTCAGGAGCTGGAGCTGAGACTTTAGGCCAGGTCTTCTGATGTGGAATGGAGGCATCTTAATTGGTATATTCATTGCTAGGCTAAATGTCTGCCCCTCACCCCCCATTAGATTCTCTGTGAACCACACCTAATATGTGATCATCTGTCATATGGGCCACGAAAGATTTCTGTGGGCTAATAGATCATTTCCAGGGAGCCAGATAGTTCTTTGGAAAGAAGTCTGATTGAAAATGAATTTTCCATCCCAGGAAGTTGGTAAAGCAGCTTCATAGTATTAGTAGAGCAGGTACTCTTGTTTACCATCTCACTTGTGAGCCTCTGAGAGGTATTGGCTCATGTTTAGGAATCCTTAGATAAACTAGTGATTTGAAAAGTGACTGTGTTCTTAGGTGATGGGTAATGTATCCAGAATGTATGGGCTTCAAACACACAATCCTTTAAAGAGGTAGAACTTAAGTCTTAAAATAGTAGCAAGAAATCAGAATTTTTAGTTAGCCATGGGAAAGTGAATTATTTAATTATGAGAGAAGTCAGATTATGATAAAAAATTAGTTACCACTTTGAAGCATATACTGTATACCTGTACTGTGCAAATCACATTGCATGTATTAAGTCATCTGTTCTTTACAGCAAGTTGTCAAGGTGGGAATTACTATCAAACAGTGAAGTGCTGTACTCGGGGTCACATGGGGAGTGAGCGGAGGAGCCAGGATTTGAACCTGGAACTGCTTATCTTCTGACGGTCCTTTTTGCATTATACTCACAGTTAAGACTGGTATTGAGAAGATATTCCATTCTCTATATAAGACATTCTGTATAGAGGAGGCAGTGCATTCAGAAAGGCGTCTTCAGTGTGAGCATGAGCCACCCTAGAGGTAGGAGGGACCATTCAGGACTGTAAGAGAGGAACGTGGGTTTCCAGGAGCCAGTTACTGCATGGGGAAATGCAGAATTCAGGAAGACACTGATTGTAGAATGAGCTGTCCTTATTTAAAAGTTGGTAAAGAGAGTTTACAGCATCTTTCCATATCTGGCTCAACACAAAGCCATCATCACACAGCTGATTCCTCCCCTTCCTTTACTTTGTTTTAAATTTCATTTTGTGTGTACTCTGTCACCTATGTTGCTCAAATTGTTAATCTGTTCAAAACTTGTAAAAATATAAGGCCAATCAGTTATTATGCTGTGAATCCATGATTTGCACATTTTCTATATTTGAATGAAATTTATTTAAATATAGGAAGGAGGTATGACTGTGGTGGGTGAAGTAAGTCAAGGATATTTTTTGTATCCACTGTTGCTTGGTAGATTGGAATAGTTCTCCAGCTGAAGCCTTTACATGCAGTGAAAATAGCATTGGCTGGGAGATTGAAAACTGGCATTCCAGCCCCAGCTCTGCCGTTAGAACAATTGTGTGACCCAGGCCAAGCTGCCAATCATTTCTGACCTTGAATTTTCTAATATGTTAAAACAAAATTACTGAAGTCCCTATTAATGTCCAGTTTGGCTGAAGATAGAACTCTCATCCACAAATTAATTCCTTGACCTGTACTAATGCAGAATTGCAGCTCCTCCCCCCTGTACATCCTTTAACTTGATATCTTAAAAATGAGGCCGGCAAACATTTTCTTTTTTTTTTTTTTTTAACAGGCAGAGTTAGACAGTGAGAGAGAGACAGACAGACAGAAAGGTCTTCCTTCCGTTGGTTCACCCCCCAAATGGCTGCTACGGCTGGCGTGCTGCGCCAATCCGAAGCCAGGAGCCAGGTGCTTCCTCCTGGTCTCCCATGTGGGTGCAGGGGCCCAAGCACATGGGCCATCCTCCACTGCCTTCCCCGGGCACTGTGGCTCTCTTCTGTGAGAGAGCTGGACTGGAAGAGGAGCAACTGGGACAGAATCCGGCGCCCCAACCAGGACTAGAACCCGGGGTGCCTGCGCCGCAGGTCTAGTGAGCTGCGGTGCCGGCCAAACGTTTTCTGAAGAGAGCCAGACAGTAAGCATTTTTAGACTTGTGGGCTGTGCAATCTCTGCTGCAACCACTCAGCTCTGCCATTGTAGTGAAAGCAGCTACACACAATGTGTCAACGAATGGGGGTGCCTGTTTGAACCTTTACTGGTGTGCATGCATGTGTGTGTGCATGTATGACACAGAGACATGGCCATCACTCTGTAAACGAGGTAGCATGGTGTGCTCACCAGAACCTTCTATGATGCTGGGCACCAATTGGAAACTCACTAAATATCTGTGGAAGAATGGAAGGAAGGAGGGAGAGATTAGCCCCACTTTATTTTTTAAAGATTTATTTTATTTATTTGAAACACAGAGTTACAGAGGTAGAGACAGAGAGAGAGAGAGGTCTTCCATCTGCTGGTTCACTCCTCACATGGCTGCAATGGCCAGAGCTGCACCGATCTGAAGCCAGGGGCCAGGAGCTTCTTCCAGGTCTCCCACATGGGTGCAGGGGCCCAAAGACTTGGGCCATCCTCTACTGCTTTCCCAGGCCGTAGCAGAGAGCTGGATCAGAAGAGGAGTAGCTGGGACTTGAACTGGCTCCCATATGGGATGCTGGCGCTTCAGGCCAGGGCTTTAACCTGCTATGCCACAGCACCAGCCCCAGCCCCATTTTATAAATGAAGAGATTCCACCATAGGGTGTCAAAGCTGTGTGAGGTTGAGGGTTGAGGAAGCTGGGAGATGTGGCTGTTTCTTCAGGTAGCAGTGTGTGTGTCTGTTCTATTGCATAGGAGGAGAGTTGGGTTTTGGGGGAGTCTTAAACCTTGAGATGTGATTAGCTTGATTAACCAGCAAATCTGTAAAGTTTCCCACAAACCATGTACTTAATATAGAACTGGATTACAGTTTACAGTCAACTGCACTAATTCATTAATTTTATTTCACAGACTAAAATTTTTACTATGCAAATGGATGCAAATAATATAGGAAAATAGTGTGTTAACCAAGTGCAGCTGCACTTTTTTTGTTTTTTGGTTTGTTTATTTTTTAGTTGTTTCATTGGAACTGTGACACTGGGTTGGAAAGTGAGATAATAAATACCTTCAATGTTTGAAATTGTATGTCGAATACTTTCTTGAAGGGTGATTGGGAGCCTTTCTTCTCTCATAAACATTGCAGTGATTGGCACATCTTTTTCTTCTCTTTCTTGCCCAAAACAGGATGAAGAAGATGAGCAACATTTATGAGTCAGCTGCCAACACACTGGGAATCTTTAACAGCCCCTGCCTGACCAAAGTCGAGCTGCGTGTGGCGTGCAAAGGCATTTCCGACCGAGATGCCCTTTCCAAACCAGACCCCTGTGTCATCCTCAAGATGCAGTCCCACGGGCAGTGGTTTGAGGTAGGCAGGTCCAACAAAATGGAGAGAAGCCTGCTGGGATGATGGGCTCAAAAATGTTTTGACATTTCCTGTCTTCAGGTGGTTTATTTTGATGAAGTAGAATATTCTAGAAATGCATGTGAACATGTTTCTGTTTATCTCATGATGTTTTGATGTGGCTATTTTGATGCTATGGGTATTTTGAAATTTTCCTTTTGTTCATGGGCCTAAAACTTTTAGTAGGCTTTTATTAATGACCTAGAAATATTCACAAAATACTCTGTCTCAGGCCCAGTTGTTGGCAAAGGGTAGAAAGTGAAAGGGTCAGGAATATGGTAAACCCAGATCCCAGTCTCGGCTTGAGTAAGAAAGCTGATGTTCCAACAATAGTTCTGGACATAAAACCTTCTGATTTGGTTAGAGTTTGGGGAATGGAAGCTCTGAAGAAGTAAGTTTTGGGGTGGTTGGGAGAGAAATGACTGTTCCGTTTGGACTAACCTTCCCATAGATCCTGGCTTAAGAGAGGGAGCCAGGAGGACATGTGTGAGCAAGTCAGTCCCATGGAATCCCTGGCCGCTACTGTGTAGTCATGGGGCAAGCTCTGGTTCTGAGGTAGGTTGGAGTACTTATTATGCAGGGTGATTGGCCACAACTGAGTAGTAAGGGCTACAACTCGAGGTCAAACCCAAAACAGGATGGTGGGACAAGCACTGATGCAGGATGAATTGTGTGTCTGTGAGAGAAACATGGCTTCTAGTGTCTGTTGTGGATCCGAGAGAGTCACAGGAGACCCAACAGCGGCAGTGCAACCTAGCACTTAGCACCGAAGGAGTGACCCATTCCAGGCCCCTCAGTTGCTAGACCTGAGTTGGATATCATGCCTCAGGCTTGGTTGGTTGGAGACTGGAGAAGGAAGAATCCTGCTTGTGGAGATCGTGAGTAGATATAACAGCAAGGAGATTATGGTGGCCCAAGCCAGGGGAGGGATCTGAGACCTTCAAGCTGATTGTGCCAGCATGCAGCTTTAGATGGCTTTGGAAGGTACTCAAAACACATACAGGCATCTCCCAAGCTTACCTGTAGAATGTGCACACAGCAGGTTTCTTAACATACACGCTTGCTGTGCTTATACATGATGGATGAAATGGGGTTTCTATGAGTTGTCCTTATGTGGATGTCAAGAGACAACTTGGTATTTTCATGGGGGAGTGAAAGATTTACTTCTTGTTGTGCCTATCGGATTCCCATCCATTATGCATCCAGTGCTATATTTGGACAAGTGCTTCCGGAACTACCTCAGGTAGACACAGAGGTACCTGGAGAAGGGCAGGAAGGATGGCTTACAGGGCCACATCACACAGTATCAGCTGAACTTTACTGAGTGCTTACTAAGTGTAAGGTACTGTTTAAGTGCTTTATGTAAAATAAGTAATTCAGTGCTCACAGCAATTCTATATTATCCCCACTTTACAGATGAGAAAACCGAGAAACAGAGAGGTGAAGGATTTACCTAAGATTATTTAGATTGTAAACTGAAAATCTATTATGGAAACCTGGGCTCTTGGGCTCCTGACCCTGGGGTCTTGATTGCTGCTTTATACTTGGGCAAAGCTCTGGTGTCAGGCTTCAGTGGATCGTGTGGTGAAATTGCACGTTGAATTCTGTGATTAGGTTTTGTCTGTTTTTCAAGGTTTTAATTTTTTTTTCTCTTTCATGGCTTCTAGGTGTCTATATAGGTTTTTTTTTAAACTGATTTGAGGTGCATGGGGAGCAAAGGAGGTGGTTGTTCCCCTTCTAGGGGAACCAAGTGCTCATGGAATTTGGGGAAGGGGTTTAAAGCCATGCTGAGTAGAGCAAGAGCTGATGACAACCTCTTGGATCCTGGAAGTCCTTCAACACCTGTTGCCATCTGTGCGCAGACAGCTGGAAGCTCCACCTTTGGGGGACACTCTTCCACTTTGTGATAGAAATAAGGCTCAGAAGACCCTGACATAGCATGTTCACTTCTGTGAATATGTGTGGGAGGTTTTTTTAGCTCCTAGTAAACAGGTGAAATTCAGGTGTGGAGGATACATGCATGGGGAGTCCCGACATATGGGAAGACTGGGAATTTCAATCCTACTCCAGGCTCATCCAGGACTTCCACTGTGAATGTAAAACAGTATTCAAAGGATTCGGAATGTGTAATCTATTTTTTTCCTTCTAAATATCTTCATTGACTTTGTTGGTGGGTTTTTTTGTTTACTTTTTAAAAAATTTAACAAAATTAAATAGAATGTCTACATTAGAAATATGTCACTGTGAACATTAGAGGTATGAAATTCATGTCCTAATCCCCCTTTTGATGATTCCACTATTATTTCTATGCATTTCTTTTTTTTTTTTTTTTTTTTTTTTTTAAAGATTTATTTATTTGAAAGTCAGAATTACAAAGAGAGAGGAGGAGGAGGAGAGAGAATCCACCACAATGAGAGGAGGAGGGGGAGGGAGAGGTCTTCCATCTGCTTGCCCATTCCCCAAATGGCTGCAACGGGAGCTGCACCAATCCAAAGCCAGAAGCCAGGAGCTTCCCCCCGTTCCCCCACGCGGGTCCAGGGGCCCAAGGACCTGGGCCATCCTCCACTGCCTTCCCAGGCCATAGCAGAGAGCTGGATCGGCAGTGGAGCAACCAGGATTTGAACCAGCACCCACATGGGATGCTGGCATGGCAGGCGCTGGCCCCTGAGTCTGGCTTTTTCTTTTGTAGCATTTAATACAATTTTAAGTAATAGTAGTAATAATTAAGTAGTAGTCTCTTCCATAGGATTGAAAGTTCTATGAGATAAGGCTTGCTTCTCTTGTTAACCACTGCACTAGTAGGGCCTAATACCTTCTGCACAGTAAACAGGTATTCAATACTCTTTCAGCTGGTTTTTTAATCCACCCATTTCTTATTAGGTATTCTCAGAGGAGCAGGTGGAGAGGCAGAGTTTGTGGGCTTGGAGGTGGAGACAGTGGCTGAATGGCAGAGAGGAAAGAAGTCAGGGTTAAGTCAGTGGGGAGGCAGGAAGAGTGAGGAGGAAACTCTGACACTCAAGGAGGCTTCCCTCTACTCCAGCCCCAAACAAGTCATCAGACAGCAATTTATATATCCATTTCATCAGTTAGGTGAACATGAGATTATAAAACCAACACGAGTAATTCTGCAGAATCAGAGTGCTTCCCTGGGTCAGACGTGGGCATGGTGAGCGTGTTCCTCCAGCTACGCTCCGAGGGGAACGAGGCATCTGCGCAGACACACGCTTTCCTCTCTGTCCTGAGCAGCTCTCTCTCCAAGGCCGGCACTACTTCTTCTTCGTGGCTCTCTTCCCTTCTCCTTTCTTGGGTTTCCCCTTCCCACGCAGCTTCTTCAGACGTACTTGCTCCTCCTTAAAATCTTGGTGCTCATCTCTGTAGAGGCCATGAAAACGGAGGATCCCCATGAGCGCAAAGTACGTGTTGTGATTGGGATACCAGTCGTAAGTCTCCTTCCTCTTGGCCAGCGGCTGCTCACTGAACAGTTTCACCACTTTCATAGACTTGGAGTCAGTGGGCCTGGCAACTTCTCCAAACAGCCGGGCACTCAGCCGAGTCATGCGCAAGGCATATTCTGAAAGCAAAGACATTTCTCGGGCAGCAAGGAGCAAGAGTATCTGCACCCGACCTTCCTCACCCCCGCGCAGCGGCCCCCTCTATGCATTTCTTCTTAGTCTTTTTCTTTTGGCATAGTCTTACACAATTCTTATCATGAATATACATTTTTCTTTCCTGATTTTATTGCCTTGTAGTATATGCTTTCTAAAATATTGCTATAGTATTGATCATTATGATTTTTACAGCTATGTAATAACTCATCAAATGAATTAATTTCCTATTTTTTCACTTTAAAATTTCTTCCACAAATACTCTATTTTAAATAGTACTGCAACAAACTTCTTTAAGTATAGGCTTTACCATTCTTTTTGGATGAGTTCCTGGAAGAGTAGAACTGGTGAGGAAACAGTGAGACTTTTGACATACGCTGCCAAATTGCAGCATTGTAACCAAGTGGCATAAGTGAACACTTCTGAGACTCCAAAGGCAAGGCCTCTTGAGAACTGAAAACTTACTCAGCTCCCTGGAGCCCATGCTGCATCCCTGAGTGTGGCTGGATGTTTTCCATACAGCAGAACCAAGATCATAAATATGTGGCCCTTGGCAGAGATCCTGTGAGTGGCAGAATACTTGTCCTCATTGGGAAAACCCGAATTACACCCCAGACTTCCAGAATGTTGCTCCAATCACCATTAATCCCATCTTCCCATTAAATTTTAATACACAATTATTGAGCTCCATCATGGAAACCCTAAGTAATTCTAAGGACTAATTACTCTTGGATAGATTCCATATGGAAACACGTTAGAATGAATTGTGAACTATGGTGAATTGTTGGTAATGATTATTAGTAATGATTTGTGTGGTTATATCTAACACATCAATTATCAGTGGACTCAAATAAGATTACTAACTTTTATAATAATATTGTATCAGTATAGCACTTTATATTAACAATGCCAATCTAATCATTTCATTTTGTTACTCATAACAGTCCCAAGAAAAAGTAGCAAAGACATTGCAGTTAAGTGTAGCATATCATGGACATGGTTTGTGCTTTCAAAGACCTCAGCATCCAGTGGAACTTGTAGGGCTAGAGCATCAGTTGTGTGACCTTGAGAAAGATGACTCGGGGCCAGCATTGTAGCATAGGATAAGCTGCCACCTGCAGCGCTGGCATTGCATATGGGCATCTATTCGAGTCCCAAATGCTCCGCTTATAATCTAGCTTCCTGATGATGCACCTGAGAAAGCAGCAGAAGATAGCCCAAGTGTTTGGGCCCTTGCACCCACATGGGAGACCTGGAAGAAGCTTCTGGTTCCTGGATTTGGCGTGGTTCAGACCCTGCCATTGCAGCTGGCCGGCGAGTGAACCAGCAGATGAAAGATCTCTCTGTAACTGCTCTTCAAATAAACAAAATAAATATTAAAAAAAGTAAACCAACCAATTCCTATAATTTCACCTGTTTTTTTAAAAAAAGAAAAATGACTCAAAACAAGATTTTGACTTAAATGTGTTCCTTTCCCTGACTATGTGGCAAGGAGACCCCTCGAAGGTGCCATTCCTCCATGGTTCTCTATCATCTGCGCTTTCTCCTCCTTGCGCTCTCCTGTCCACATGCAGGGTTTAGTTGATCGAGCCTTCCTGTTAGCAGAGACAGGAAATAGCATCCGTGGTGGTGGGCTTGCTGCCTCCCAGGGAAGTGAGCTTGGGCTTTTCCCACAGCTCCTCCTTGGCTAGAGGACACATCGAAGAGTTCCACAGGAACAAGCAAGCCTGTCTCATGCCTTGACAGTAGTGGGCCATCAACCCTCTGTGTTTTGAGCCATTACAATAGAGCCCAAAATAGCAATTTTGGCTGTGTATGAGATACTCACATTCTGATTGATTCAAAGGTTAAAACTTTTGTGCAAAGTGGGACAGACAACCCGGACATGTAAGTGATGGCTTCAAGTTGCCGTCTACGTATGTCACTATCAGTTATGTATTAGTTGTTTTATATAGATTCCTCCTAGTCCTTGTAACTCCTCTGCAATACAGGGTTTTCCAGATAAGGAAATCGTGGTTCGGGCAGGATAAATAAGTTGCCAAGTTCATACAACCAGTAAGTAGTAAAGCTGGAATCTGGTTGATTCTAAAACCTGCATTCTTTCTACTTTGCCAAAGGCTGCATACAAAGCTGGCGGCCTCCCCGGCCTGCAAATGTATTTTGTCTGGTGTTCTAACAAGTTTTGTGTTGGCTGCCAAAACTTAAAGGTCAGGAGGTTTTTCCTAAAACTCCAGATTTCGAGTTTCTTTAAGTAACCAGGAAATCCGGCAAGCGGAGGCCTTTAATCCTCTGGCCAAAATGAGTGAGCAGTTTCCTGCCTCAGCAGAATGCCAGGCATCTCCCTGATGAGCCCACTTCACTCCCTCGCCCAGCCCAGAGGCCTGGGGAGCCTGTGGGTGAGAATACACTCCTGCGTCCCTGCCAGGGCCTCTGAAATGGTTAAACTCCCAGCTGTGGACAGAGATGAGAGCTGAAGAATGAAAATTAAGTCAATTAAAGCATTCCCTTGGGATATCACAGGCACGCTCCTTTCTCAAAAGGTTTTTTTCACACTTGTTGACTTGCAATGTTTCAATGGCTAACACCTAGCATGGCAGATGATTAAAAAAATACAATTTTTTTGAGTTATTCACAAAGTTTCCACTGTGGTTTTGCATCAAACTCCCATTTGGGAAAAATTTGATGTTGCTTCCTACCTCCCCCTTAACACATTCTCAATAAGAATAATTTCCTTTTAAAAAAGTTGGTTTTAGTGATATTAGAAATCTCACCCTGAGCACCGAATAGAAAGAAAACAAAATGCAATATCAGAGCCAGAAAATGTTTCCTTCTAGTTGCCTGTGGTCATGATCCTGTGACCGGAGACTGATGGTTCTATGATTTTCAGTCTGTAAACAATGCACTTAGAGGTTGAACTAGGAGATTGCTAGGTTCCACAGATGCAACTAATTGGCTGTCTTATAATTAAAATCTCAACTGGTTAATGCCATGACACATGAAAGCAGAATCAAACAAGATGGAAAACTAAGGCTACAAATGAGCAAGTGTTAGAATTGAAATCTGTGTTGGATGTGAATTCTCTAATTTTCCCTGAAGGAGAATGTTTCAGCTGGACAAATAATATCTGGCTTGATGCAGGGAGGAGGGCACCTTGGCACCGATCCCCCTGCCTCTTTGGCCTGGAGAACTAGCCAGCCACATTCTAGATATTCAGACTAAGTATTGGTCATCACATGTTTTCATAGTGTAACTCAAGCCCTGTGCTGGTCACTTGGGAGGTGGAATTAGAGGCCAGGAATAGAGCTGGGGAAGGTGTCTGATTTGGAGCCCTCTGTCTGTAACTTGAACCCCCTTTAACACCTCACAGGAGGTGTCTCTGACACCTTGTCTGGGAGCCTATGCTCACGTCTACCTAGACTCACTACTGAAAATCATCTCCTTAAAGAAAACCATCTTCCCTTTGCAATTTTCATCTATTTCCTTTTTAATTCATGGTGATTTATTAAATATAATAAATATATTGAGAGTATTTATACAATATATCAAGCACTTTTGTAAGTACTTTATATGTATGATAATATTTAGTTGTCAATGTGATCCTAAAAATTTGACTCTGTGTCTTCTATATTTTTCCATATTTATTGAAATAAAATTGACAATGAAAATCATGTATGCTGCAAGGGCTCAGAGGAGTTAAGCAACGAGCACAAGTTATAAGTGGAGGAGCTATAGCAGATGGAGCCAGGCTGGCCTCAGAAATGGGGTCCCACTCTCCTTCCCTGAGAATGACGAGTGCCGTCTGCTGAGTGTTAGTCATATGCCACATGCTGAGTCCTTACGTCATAGAATCCTCACGTCAGTGTGTAAAACAGGACCTGTGATGACCCATTTTACAGATGAGAAAACTGACACACACCCACAGAGTACACGCAGGAGATCACAAGACCAGTGAGAAGTGGTATTTGGAGTTGAACCCAGATCTTTATGTCTGAACTGCCATGCTGTCCCATGTGGCACTGCACTTCTCTCATCCTGTTGTCTTTGGAGCCAGAAAAACACAACTAAAGCACATTCCAATGAATGCATTTTCCTCTCCTTTATTTCCAAATTGCTTTTCTCATCTGAAATCATGGATTAAATATGGATGTGGAGTAGGTGTAGCTATTCCTGCCCTTTGGAAGTCTATACTCCTCTGAAGCCTGTCCTTGTTCCAAGCTCTTCGTGTCTCCTAAAATTGAACATTCGTTTTCCTGGCCCTGGAATTTGGAGTAGGGGTTTCTGGACGTTTTGTAGAGAAAGGTATTTTTAATTTCTTAAGATAATGAGGTGGTAAAGTAAAGTGATGTCTCCATGCTACTTTAATGCAGCTCAGAGGGTGCCAAGTACAGTGGGAGCTTTTTTCAGGACAGAATACAGTGGGGCAATGACATCAAGGGCTTACACGTTCATTGCTATTAATACCTTCCAGAAGTCCACTCACAATCGTCCTGTTACTTGTGAGCAATTAAAACTCAAATCCTTTCCGTGCAAACTGTGCCAAGAAAACTATGCTATTTGATCCTTTTGCAATTAATGCTTTTACCATTTATGTTTACGTGTTTTCCCTTATCAGAGCTCACTGAGATGATGTGGATCTCAATTTCTTATCTTTTATATGACTTAGGTCTCCCACATGCTACAATCTTGGCTTAATTCAGTAGTATCATTTTTAAGGATATTTTCTTAATGCAGCGTTTTATTTTTGTTGTGATGGTATGATTGGTGATTATGACTTATGATTTATGTCCTGTACATTTTTCATTTTTTTAGATTTATTTATTTATTTTAAAAGGCAAAGTGACAGAAAGAGGGCGATAGAGCTATGTTCTATTCACTGGTTCGCTCTCCAAATGGTTGAAACAGTCAGGACAGGGCAGGTTGAAGCCAGGAGCCAGGAACTCCATCCTGGTCTCTCACATGTGTGTCAAGAGCCTCACGTACTTGAGCCATCATCTTCTGCTTCTAAGATGCATTAACAGGGAGCTGGATTGGAAGCACAGTAACTGAGACTCCCATGCGGGATG